AATTTTAAAAATCCTGCAGTGTGGTCTTACCAATACTTTCTTCCTAGGGCCAAAGGCAGAAGGGTTCCATAGACCATGATCTCTTGGCCTCCTTGAGCTCCACTACTTATGTGACCTTCCTGCCAAACCACAGCTGTGCCACCTCTCTTTTTTGCTCTCAGAGAAAAAAGAAAATAAGGGGAAAAATAATAATAAAATAAGAAGAGATGAAGGAAATTGAACATACTATTGTATCAAATAAAGGAGAGAGAGGGAAGAGGAAAAAAGAAAGAAAGAAGAAAGATCCAAAAAAAGGAGGGGATATTTTAGCTGCTGCATGAGCGATTTATATGGAAAAGATGAGAAAAGTAGAAGGGTCTCTACTAAAAGAGAGAATGGAGAGGAGTAAAATATACAAAGAGAATAAATGAGACTAAAATACCATAACCAAAAATACAGGAGCCCTTACTCTTGATGAAAGTTAAAATGGAAGTTAAGAATAGAACCAACCAAACAAATTAGTAAAAACAAAACCAAAAAAAAAACCTCAAATAGCCAAAATAGCAGCAACCTCAACAATATAGAAAAGAAGGAAAAAAGCTAAAAAAAAAAAAAAAAAATTATATATAGTGGAAGGGACAACTTTAATAAGAGTATATATGTTGTAATATGTCACTAGGACACCAGGTGGTGCTATGGTGTTTTAGGAGATGAAGAACACAGTCAGCAAACTCTGTGGTTCTTATTCCTAACTTAGTTGCCTTCAGTGATAGTCTGATTGTTTCCTCAGCATTTAGACCCTGCTGGGTTGGCATCTTAAAGCTCTCCAGAATCCTTCAGGGGCAGGTCTCATAGTACCCCCTGACAGCAGTTCCCAAGGGGTGCAGCAGCCTATCCCAAGACTGGAGATCTGATCCCTTCAGGCAGAATTAAGATGGCCATGCTTTAGGCCCCTGCTAAGATCTTCTCATGACCTTCCCACAATGGCAGCTCCCTGGCTACTGAGACCTTCTCAATATGGCTGCCCCGCCAGCCACCAAACCGATGGCAAATCCACACCAACTGGTCTGCAAATCTGGGTGCTATACACTGTTCAAGTCTCCCCACTCTTTCAAGCTTTCCACTCCCTCTCTCTCCTTTATTTGATATAACTGTATTTTTAATTTCCTTTATTTCTGATTTCCCCCTAAAACCAAAAACTTCAGAAGGCTTCCTCCCACCCCGGGACCTCTGTGAAGGAGGTCAGCCATTCCCACTGGCTCCCAGACACTTGGCTAATGAGTCAGATTTCCACCTCTCTGGATCACATGCTATATCCAGCTCACCACTAGCTTGTTGTGCTCCCTGAGCTATGCCTATGGGTAAGGTCCCCATGCCAGGTATGACTGGGTTTTCTTTTTTTTTCCCCAGTCATACTAGGAGAGTTCAGGCAAACAATCCTTCTGGTGTGCCATCTTGCTCCACCCTCCTGACTACTCTGAATCAGTCAGTGACCCACAGTCACACCATGCAGTCTGCTGCTCATGTGATGAATAATGCCACATGCATTTCATACTCTGTGGTCCCAGGTGTCCCCTCATGGGCACACAGACACCACACACATGTGAACAAACTTTGCTAACTCTTTATCTCTCACTGACAGGACATCAGTGCCCCTCCAACACCACAAGAAGTAGTACCGATTATTTCTAGGTATATCTCAAGTGAGTTTAGGATAAAGTCCTCACTAAAGCCTGCCACCCAGCAACTGTGGGTGACATCAAATGAAATGTGCCACTGTTTTGCTGTGCACATCCTGCCCCTCTCTGTGAAGTGTAACACACGTCTCCATGTAGAAATAGGGAGCTAGACCCCCCCTAATCCAGTGCAGTGCCCCCAAAGCAGCAGCTCCCACAAGGACCCTTATCTGAAACATCCAATGGGTCTTACATCCCCCTCTCCACACAGGTCAGACCAAGCCCCAGGGAACAATTGGAGTCATGCCCACCATCCTCCCCTCTGTTCTGTCACTCCTCACCTCTGTCTCAGGTGTCTACTCAGCAGTCTCCAACCACTCACCTCCTGCAGGTAGAAAAGGAATTCAGAAAAAAACCACAATGAAAACCCAAAGTCCTAATGCTTTTTTAAAAAGATATAGAGACAGGGCTGGTGGCTTAGCTGTTTAGGGACATACAAGAGACCCTGAGACCTATTTTGTTTGCTCTAAGTAAATGTATAGTTAGTTCAAAAAACTTAGCAGGTAACATGTTCTCTCTCTAAAACCCCTAAACATGGCTGGGTGCCTGTATCTCAGTGGTTAGGGTGCTGGCCACATGCTCCAGGGCTGGTGGATTCTAACCTCACCTGGGTCTGCTAAACAGGCACTCTACCAAGGGCGATAAAGTGAGACTCTGTCTCTAAAAAAATAAGATAAAGAGAGAAAGAAAATAAAATTCACCCAGATGGCTCCTCCTCCGCTGAAGGCTTAGGAATGGTGTCTTCACCCCTCACTGGAAACCCTACAAAGGACAGAGAAGTGAGGTATGATTTCTACCATAAATCTAATTAACCATTTCCATCAGCTCCCCCTTTCTAAGTGGCAATAGGACAGAGCACAGGAAACCCTGGATGAGAATCACAAACTATGTCACTGTTAACGTCCCTGGCTGGCGAGCTGTGTCTTGGGAACTCAACCTTTTCTGTGTTGGTTCTCTCATTCATAGAAGCTGCTTTTGGTAATGATACCTCCTCCTTGTGAGGCATGGATGTGGACTTAGCACCATGGTAGGGGCAACATTTAGGTTATCTTTTAAATATAATTTATACCATAATTCTGCAAAAAAGACATTAAACCCAGTTTTGCAACTGAGCGAAACTGAGCATCGACTCAGCTAAAAGAGCGAGTCCTTGAAGAAAGTGCATGTGGCACAGACCTGGCTTTTCCAGTCACAGTGACTCTGCATGGAGGAGACTGAGCTGTGCATCTCCAGATACGGATCCTAGGAGTTCTCAAAAGTGGAAACATCTACGAGAAATCATACAATCCCCCAAGATAAGGCTACACAGACCAACTCAGACTGCCAACCTTTTTGCTTTGGCCTAAATTAAGTTATATTAGCCATTTTCTATGATTTGCTTAAATAAAACAGAGAAGAAATAATTAGCAAATTTTGTTTATAAATGAGTAAAATCGATTAGAACAGGAGCTTTGTGAGAAGATTCTCTCTTGGCTAGTGCTGAGACATGAGGCATGTGGCGTGAACAAGGCACATGGTTACTCTTCTCAGGGAGCTTGTAGTCCCAAGAAGGGGCCCATCAGCAATCCCACATCACTGTGAGGTGCTCTGGGGTCATGGGGTGTCTAGCATCATGGGGACACACAGAAGGGACTCTCAATCTCCTGGAGTGAGACCTGGAGGTGCGGAGAGGAAGGGAGGCAGCGGGAGGTAAAGGAGGAACTTCCAAGGAAGGCCAGAAGCCAGAGAGAACTCGGCACCTTGAGAGGGGTTTCCGATGGCACAGGGGGCAGGGTCCAAGGGGGGAGAGGTGAGAACAGCAAGATTGAAGAGGTAGAAGGGGCCAGGTCACGAGGGCCTTGAAGACCCATTATAGGAATGTGACTTTATCCTAAAGGCAGTGGAGTTTTTAAGCAGAAGTAGCACGATTAGCTTCATGATTCAGTTGCTTTTATGAAAATAGCTTGAAGGGGACAAGATCAGAGGGGAAGCCTCCTCAGATGAGCAGAGAGGGAGTATGACCCCAGCTCGGAGCAGTGGGGGCAGGCAGACCCCTACCTAAGAGGTGAAATTGGCACAAATTAGTTCTAAGTTAAAGACCCACACCAAGGAACCTCCAGCATGTACAGGCAGGCATGGAAGCTGAGTGAGAGGCTTAAATGAGTAAGGAGGACCAGGCAGGCCAGGGGAGAAGCCTGAGAAACTCTAACACCTAAGTACTGATACAGAAACTGGAGCCAGCAAAGGTGACCTTGGGGAAGTGCGGGCGCCAAACCCTCCCAGGGGTCGGCTGTGAAGGGGTGGGAGACAGAGGCAGCATCCAGAGGTGGAGTATGCACATTTGCCTTGTGGCTGTTTAATGACCAGAGAGCGGCCAGCCAACCACAGCATCCCGCAGAGCAGCCCTGGGAGAGGGTTTGACGCACCTGTATTTTCCTGCCCCGCCCCCTGCATTCAGGGCAGTGGGCAGACAACACCGTGCCTGTAACCGTGAGAGATGAAATCTGTCTGCAGTGGATTCTACCCACACTCCTCTTCCCCAAGGGTTTCCTCTCATTCACTGACTGACCCAGAGGTGTTTATTCACATCTGCTACCATACATCGGCCCCTGGACGGGGCACACTGGGAAATAAGACTCAGGAAACACCTGTGTGAGGTTGGAGCTGAGTCCCATAAACAGGCATCGCGGTCTGCGCCAAGGGTTGCCAGTGAGCAGGTGAGCTCTTAGGGCACAGGACAGAGAGCAACTGAACAGAAGTTTCATAAATGTTTCTGCCACCCTTAGTCTTACTGTTTCCTCCAAAACTACAAGATGTACATAGAGAACAAGAATGTTTTTTAATGACATTTGATAAAATTAACACTTTTTGTGTTTATTAAGATATTCAAAGACCATGGAATTGATGGAGAAACTTTGCCACTGCTCACAGAAGAGCATCTTCGAGGAACAATGGGATTAAAACTCGGGCCAGCACTAAAAATTCAGTCACAGGTATGGGGATTTTATGTAACTAAATATGTGTTAGTGCAGAGCGTAAAGAAACATGTTACCTTTATCCCATTGTGAAATAAGTAATGTGGGCACGTAACTGCTTTATTAAGCTTTTCTCCTCTGCCATTGGGAACAGATTGAAATAAGGGAATTAAAAAAACACTGAATGAATGCGGTGGGCCACATTTCTTTGTGCAGTTGGGAAGCTGGCAAGCAGTGGCATGCTAGTAAATGTTTAAAACTAAGTCTCCTTAAAAACAAATGAGCCCTGGGCGGTGCCTGGCTCAAAGGAGTAGGACGCCAGCTCCATATGCCGGAGGTGGTGGGTTCAAACCTAGCCCCAGCCAAAAACTGCATTATTAAGCTTTTCTCCTCTGCCATTGGGAACAG